TTCTGCTAATCTCGTTTTTAGTTTTCTTCCCGTTTGGCCTATATAGGAATCGCATTCACGATCGCATTCGATCTCGTAAATCACATTCCTTTTGGAAAATCTTTGCAAAGGTTCTTTGTGTATTGTAATAAATTTTTTAAGTTTATTGATACTATAATGAACAACCACTTTATAAGAGAGACCATTAATAAATTTGCAGAACTTATTAGATATTCCATTGATGGAAGGAATTGTAAATCATCTGATTTGTTCTTTTTTAGTCTTGAAATCTTTAGTAGAAATCTTATAATTATAATTGGATTTTTCAATTAATTTTTTTATCCTATCAGACAATGTTTCAAAAATAAATTTCAGCGGATAGTCATTTTCTAATACAATTTTAATCAAAAAATTTAAATTTCTTTTGTAAAATTCTGAATGTGAGAAATAAAAACTCTTTCGATGATACCCTTCTTTTGTGAAATCGTATTGTGAGATCAATAATTCAAAAATCTGCCCGAAAAGGTGGGTTTTTTTGCAGGGTTGTTAAAGTTACCGTTTTTTTAGTAACGCGTAACATTTATTGTTATTTGCGATAAAAAATAATTCGTTACTCTTTACTCGTTACCGATTCTAAAAGTAAAGCGTTATTGTCACTTAAAGTAACGGAAAAATCGTTACTTTTTGCTATTGTTAAAAAATGATTGCATTTATGCAAATTATAACTACATAAGAACAAATCGTTTTTTAATATAATATATATTTTTGTTTTATTTTATTCGTTCTTCATTTGCTCTTTAATATGATACTCTTTAATATTGGAATATTTAAATTGGTTCATATATCTTAACTTTAAGTTACAAATACTTTGTATCGTTAAATCAGGAATTTTTGTTTAATAATAGAGATAACTGTTGCTGAACATGTCCGTCTGTCAGACAGTACCGTCAATTTTGACGTTTTGTACTATTTCTACTTAGCGGGAGTTCTGATTAACCACTGCTTTTCCGCTTTCTGCTCTCCCGTGGTGTAAACGCGTCCTTATTAAAATAATCCTATATAAACGGAATAACGAGAAAAAGACGTAAACTTTCGTTATTAGAAGTTCCTGAAAATTGTGATTTAGTTATCATTACTGTTACTCGTTAGTAAAAGTAACTCCGTTACTCATTCGTTACTAAAAAAATAACGAAATTAGTAACTTCGTTCCTTTTTTATGTATCGTT